TCCTATACACCTTTTTATATTAGCTTTTCTCCTCCCTGTCTAAGCCTCTTGGTCCACTGTGTTCTTGTTCCCTCTGACCTTGTCATGACAACTTTCTATAGGTGTCATTTAATAGGGGAACAGGGAGATATGTGTTGGCTATAAATTATATATAAATCATCATTTCATCTGTTAATGGTCAAGCCATGACTGTGATTCTGTCAACGTTTTGAACATATGGAAGAAAGAGACATTGAGACACAGACTTTGATGTCTGCTAAACGCCACACAGTAGAAACAGTGAAGAACTAAGCTCATCTGGAATGCAATAGTCTCAAAGTTGAGGACAGAAAAGAAAAGATGCAATGGAAGAGATGGAGATGGTGGGATGGCAGACTTTTGAAGTTGTGGATGTGCATTTTGTGACTGTGATGTCATGTCACACTGTGTGTGCCTGAGTGTGTGCGTGGAGGTCATTGCACTCTGTCAGACTGTGTGCGTGTGTTTTGTGGCTGCAGATGCAAGGAAGTGTGAAGAGCAATTTCAAATAGTCACTTTTCCACTGAGAGAGACAGAGAAGGAGAAAAAAAAAGAAAGAAAAGAAAGATCTCTCAGAACGGAAGTGGAGCAGCACGGATTAAAATGCAGGAGCAGTTCTCAAGACTTGGAAAACTCACACACACAAACATTTATTCCAGGATATAGACTCCAAAACAAATCTAAAATTATGTGTGTATTGTAGAGAACAGGATATTGAGTTTATTAATTCAAAACGTAGACATAAATCAAAATCAGTATTTATAAATGTATGAAGTACCACTGTTTATTCAAACAAAGAAGCAAGCTGATGACGGCGTAACATGAGTCACATATTCAAACAAAAACGATATGATTAGTTAATTTCATTCTCGACTCAACAGAAGAAAAAAAAAATACTAAGAGAAAATCATGCAAAACATGCTCCCTTAAACATTAACTCCAAATGAAGCATTGTTCAAAATGGATTATTCAATTCTGTGATGTATTTTATCTACAATTCAAACCATTTTAAAGGGGCTATATGTAACTTTCAAAAGTACTGCTTTTCTAGCGAGACCGCATGGCCGTTAGGCGAACTGCACCACGTCATACGTGCTCGTACGTACACAAACAAGCAAATGAAGAAACACTAGTTTGAAGAAACACTAGTGTTAATTTACTGAGTAATTAAGGTTTTTTTTGTTGTGTTGTAGAGCAGGTAAAGCCAAATGTATAACTAAAAATAGAAGGAGGGAGGAAAACACAATAAGGTTGGCATTGATTCATTGATTGTTCTCGCAGGATGACATATAGCCATATGTGCTGGGGCTGGTACAAAACACTATAATTAACTCTTCATTTTGGTGGGTGGTCTTAGTTATAAGCTAAAATAAGCCAAAGTTATCACCTGCAGTTCCTCACCTCAGACATGGCAGCCAAAAAGAGAGATAAACAGCAGAAGTTCTTTCAATTAAAATTGAGTTGTGAAGAAAAGCCTCTGTGTGTGTGTGTGTGTGTGTGTGTGTGTGTGTGTGTGTGTGTGTGTGTGTGTGTGTGTGTGTGTGTGTGTGTGTGTGTCAGGCCAGGATCTCCTGGCTATGAATAAGAGGAAGGGATAAACCCATCGGGCCTTGGTGCCATTCAATTCAATCCTTCAGTGGTCCACAGCCAAGCAGCCAACTTGTAAAAGCTGATTATAAGGGGGCTAAAGGGCTCGCAGCCTCAACTGACTTAATGGACCAATAGGAACTAAGTAGCTAAGGAGAGAAGAGGGGAAAAAAGGGGAAGATGATGGTGGAAAGAAGCAGAAGGATGAGTTTCTATGGAGGAGAAGAGGTCAGGAACGAGGGGAGGAGAAAAGTAAAAGTCACATACAGGAGCAAGGAAGTGAAGGATGGGAAAAGTAAAGGATGAGCATGATGGTAAAAAGGACAGGGAAGGGAAATGAGCAGGGGAAGTGAGGACAAGGAAGTGGAGGAGGAAAAGGGTATGGGAAGATAAGTGAGGAGAGAAAATACAAGAGGAGGAACAGACAAGAGTTAATGGAGATAAATGCAGGCAAGAGCTGAGGAAAGAGGGGAGGAGACCAAGCTATATGGAGGGATTGAATGAATGCAAGAAAGAGAGAGGGGGAAACAAATTTAAAGAAAGGGAAGAGGAGTATTACCAAGAGTCCTTTGACGTATTTTAGATTTTAGGTGATGAAAACCAGAGTGTTCAAGAATGTGCATGACTGCAACTAGTATCATTTGTGGCTCTTGGTGTCTGACCTTTGTGGTTAAAGGGAGCGGCCAGGCTTCTGATGTCAAGACTAATATCAGCCATCATATATAACCACACACACACACACACACACACACACACACACACACACACACACACACACACACACACACACACACACACACACACACACACACACACACACACACACACACACGCACACAGACAGAGAGGGAGAGAAACACACAGAGTCACAGACGTTTACATGCTGTGACACAGTTTGTGCACATGAGTCATTAATGGAACATGTCCCAGAGAGAAAAAAAAGGACTCAAAGAGGAAGAGAGAAGGAGAGACATGAATGACTCAAATAAAGACACGGGAGAGGAACTAACTGAATTGTTACTTATTTCTCTGACTGTGTGTGTTTGTTAAGTAACAGCCTTTACAAGTCGGACACACAAACTGTCCAGTTGTAATAGGAATAAAATGAAATTATAGAGACAAGACAAAAAACCCTATTTGTGTGTGTGTTCAGAATAAGAAATGACCATGCACATGGACATATTTAGAAGCATCATTAAAAGTACAGTTTAGAGTTTTTGACCACTTGTGAGCCTATAGAACATGTTATGCAAGCAGTTATTAGGTGTTACATTTTTTTTTTTCCTGTGGCAGTGGAAGTGGCAAGGGTGGGGGTGCACGGGCACACTTGCATGTACCTGTTCCTTTCCTCTCTTATTTTACACAACCTGCCCCGCCCCTTGCTGTTTCTCTATGCTTTTATGCGTCTGATCTTTGTTTCCTCATGTATTGACTTTTTGTGGGAAACGCTGTCGCTCTTCTTTTTTTTTTTTTTTTTTACCATTAGGCAGTTCAGAACAACAGTCAAATTAAAATATCTAAGCACCAGTGTGTGAGCACAACACTTCATACACACCTAAGGATTGGCTCTTGTACCACAACACTTTTTTCCAATTCTTTGAAGTGTCACTTTTTACAGTAAACAACTCACAATATTAGTAACTACGGTCTGCGAAGTATCTTTTATTTTGTATGCATTTTGCATAAGCAATGATTAAACCACAACAGAAGAAGGGCACTTTCTTATTTTGATCCTTTGTTAACTTATATGTTCATATTTTTGCCTATTTTATGGATGAAACTAAAATGAGTCCCGTAATGCAGCACAGAACCCCTCACATTTTCTGTGCACCCTTGTATAGGAGAGCTACAGATATAAGATAAAGAATAGTACTTCCAAGGCTTTCGGCAACATGTTATCTCACCAGTTACATCCTGTCCTGAGTTAGACCTGAACATTATCTCCATTTTGTAGCTACATGAAATTATGAAACACTTCTGACCATGAGAGCGAAAAAAAATCCCTAGGAATAGTAAAGGGGAAGGAAGAGTGACATCATTGATGAAACTAGCATGTGTTAAAGGAGATTATTGCTAGATCACAAAAGTATGAAAGTTTCAAAACCTTTAGAAATTCCCATAACACCAAATGTGGCTTCCACTTAAATTAATCAGTATTTACTTCCAAGTAAATACATCATTAATGTAATCTTGTAACCGCATAGAGCCTCAACCATCTAATTGCAGCCCATTGATTTCCACTGAGACTAAATGCCACCGCTCCTCAGTCTGTTATTATTTGTTCTTTAAAGGTTGAGCTACACTTTATTGCTGAATTAACATGGCTGAAGGTACTTTACAACAACAGAGGCACACACCTTCTTTCTCTTGATATTCAAGGAACAAACTGGAGATATTTGGTTAACCCATTTCTGGGCAAGGATAAGCTTTATTAAACAAGCTGCCAACAGGAAAGCAACCCAAAGCTAAAGCCCTCCTGTACAAGAACACAGTTTGACTACTGATGGACGAAGAGTTTCTTAAGCTGTTTTCACATTTAGTATGCACTCGTGAAAAAGTAATCTAGATCATTTCAGGATATTCTTCTGACCTGGTTGTTCACATTATGCACCTCACAGCAGGAGACTACTCCTGTCGGATGGGAGGGGGAGTCGGGGGGGTTTCCTGAGGCAAGACGTGACGTGAAAAAAAAAAAAAGAGGTGGAAGTATAGCTGACGAAGCAACAGAGTCCGCTATACGATGCTATTATGAAATCATTTACCCACGGAATCACAATATCAACAAAAGAGGTAAGAACAACATTCTGTGTTGAACCGAAAACGTAATGCAGCCTTTTGATTACTGTAAGTACACAGAGACCGTAGGGGTCTGGTACATAGAGTCTATGCACCGTGTACTGGTCACGGATAGAACTGTCACCACCCCTCCACCTCGCTCGAGGGGAATTCTCCCGAGAATATCCCGCTGCATTCTCACATCAGCTCACTTGGACTTGCTGCGGAAAAAATACGAGGGGGGGGTGGCAGGAGAAACTCCAGGTGAAGTCCGAGTTAAAAATGTAGCAGTTTGCGTTCACACCTACAGCTCCTCTGGGAAATGTCAGGAGTTTTTCAGGAGTTTTCTACAAGTGTGAAAGCCCTACTAAAGAGAGCATTTGGGAGAAAAAGGCAGCTCATCATTGTCCCCATTAATTGCATTCCACTACCATTCTGCTGCAACAAGCCTGCAAGCTTCAGCATGTGAATGTAATTTATTGGACAACTGTTTTTCTTTCTCGTTGTCTGATGAACTCTAAATTATGTCTGGAAAATCTTGATGGGACTCTGTCTGTAATTCGAATGGAGGTAGACACCTTCCGTAGCAAAACAGAAAACAAGAAGATCACACCTCCTACCGTCGTACGGCCTGCCCTTGTAATCCATCTCTAAACTGTTTACAACTCTAATCTGGTTAGGCCAATCAGATTAATGTTCAGCAGTTAATTAGCAGAATACTGTGCGAGTAATCTGATTGTCGCACTAACGAGCGGGGGGGATTATCTCGCTGTGGACAGACACCTCTCTGTCTCTTCTTTAAGTTCCATTCTGTCGGCGCCTGAATCACTTTTTAAAATTTTTTTTTATCGCATTTCCTTCTCCGTTCTTGTCCATGTCTTCTAGCTCTGTTTATCTGCAGCTGCTTATCTCCCCCCCCCCCCGCCCTGTGTCTCTCTTCCCTCCTCTGTCATCAGTCTCCCGCTCCCTGTTTATCAGTCATTCTCTGTCTTATTGCCATCGATCGCTGCACAAGCCGCATGAGCAAAAACTTAATTAACTCTGACAAGCGCAGGTATTTTTATCGCTGCACCCGAAACACACACCAAAAACATACACATCCAAACACGCACATACTCCCACTTAAGATGTATTTTTAAACTCTATCTGTTTTTTTAATTGACAGATTCTTGACTTCAAGGTGAAATTCATTAGCGCTAATTGTGCCCTTGTTCAACTTTGACATTTTGTGAACGTCATGTGTGCGACGGGAGGGTGTCATTGAATGTCAGGTCATATCAAGCCCACTCAGGATACACACACACACACACACACACACACACACACACACACACACACACACACACACATACACGCATGTTGTCAGGACCTTTTATTCACATCATTCCCTGCCTACCACTTCATTATTCTTGACCTTTAAATAGCATTAACCTTAACCCTTAAAATAACCGTTTAAAAAAAAGGTGACAACCAATAAATATCCGCAGTTACTCTTTTGTCATCTTGCTAGCCTTATGAGGTCACCCATGTACTCGTGTGTTTGTGCACACTTTAGTCCTCCTCATCAGCACCTTCCCTTAAGTCATCTATCAAACACACAGCTGCGTCAATTTTCCAGTGCTTTATGCGGAGGTGTGAGCTAACATGTCACATCAGCCTGTCTCATCCTCATTTGTGTTTTACAGTGTAACACATTCTTTTAATTTTGTATTTTACAGTTGATGACACGTTTTCTCACTTGTCTGGTACATTTCAAATTTCGTCTAGTCTCCAATCTCTTTGTTCAAATGTGTTTTTTCTGTCTAAATCTCTCTTTTTCTGGACATCTTTATTTGCCATTGTATGTGTTTGTGTGTTTTTACGTGTGTGTGTTTACGCATGTGTCAGCTTACAACAATAATTGGCTCAATGATTGGCAGCATAAATTTGTGTCTATGTGCATGCTTGCAAGTTTTTGGTGCCAGCGAGCAGCGTTGGGAGGTTCATTTTTTTTTATAAATAGGGACTCAATCTAAGAAAGGTCACTTCTTAAAACCATCAATTTGTAAAGACAGTTTGGTTTTATAAGGGGAACGTGAAGAAATTAACTCAAAGTTGAGATTTCTTTTTCTTCTTACAAAGGGGCACCTATGCCACAAAATTGATTGCAGGGCAGTAAAATTATAGCATTTCTTAGGAAGGAGATTTAAATCATTGTTTATGGTGTCAGCTTGAGTTTTTTCAATACTTTATGTGATTTATTTATTGATTCATAGTCCCTCTCTTTCGCTATCTGATTTATATTTTATTTCTGACAGTTAAATACACGCAAGCAGCTTGAAACTAAAACTGCAAAAACTAACAAAGGTACCTGTTTAATCATATTTGAGATAGTGGAAGGCACTATCAGTTGAAATAACTATTTATCATGCTTGTGCTTCATTTTACTCTCCATCCCTTGTTGTAAGTCTCTCTATTGGTGCCTTAAATCTAAACAAAATAAAAATGAAATAGAACCATTTAGAGGAAGAAGTGTGCCCATCCATTTAAAGATTGCACGCAAATTATTACATGATAACACTCAAATGTGGCCCTACTCTGTCCTCTTTGCTACAATTTGACTTTCAAATAATCTCCCAACCTTTCCTCCCTTCAAACACTCACTCCCTCTGCCATCGTCACCACGTTTGCCTTTACCTTTTTTCCCCCATCATCCCTCTGATCTCTGTATCTTTTATAACACTACTCCAAGAAGAGAAACCATTGAATGAGCATCAGATTTTAACTCCAAGGTCAAACATTTGAATATGAAAAGAACATTTTAGTGGAAGGAAGCTATTAGAGAGGGGCAGACACTTCAGACTGAGGCCAGGATTTACCACATGGTCAGCTGTAAAAGACAGAATGAGGGATATCTACGACCCTACATGTAGTTGGCAAGTTTGAGCTTCTTTTCTGAGCCACAAAACCTGTTTTCTGTTGGTTTTATGGATGTATGGTATGCATAGGTTTTTTTCTTTCTGTGACACCTGACAATAATTTGGCATATACAAGCTAATAGTATTAATTATTTTGTGATACCATGATAACTGCATAAGGTGTATTTGTTTGTTTGTTTGTTTTTTGTTTTTTTGGGTCCCCCAAAAAGACCAGATTCCATGGTCTACTGTAGCCCAGTTTGGCCAAATTTAGCATTTATAGAGTGGGCTTTTTATTTTTTTTAAGTGTTTTTCCCCAGCAAATATAGATTTTTCTACAGCGTTAAAAAGTTTTTCATGAGGGAAACAATTATTATTGTTGCCCATCTGCAACCACACCACTACATGCCACAGAAACCCACTTGCTTATCCTGTATGTGTATTTATTGTGACTTTATTTTTCCATCTATTATGATGTCAGATGGTTTCTCTTCAAACCCAGTCTCACAAAAACACTCTCAGCCTGAGAGGTTTTGATATACTGATTACAAAGAAAAAAAACCTGTGACCATGTAATTGAATAAAATATTAGGTGAAACAAACACACTTTGACTAATAGAAGTTCTGGAGCTCATTGCGGCATGTTTGTGATGTTAATCAGCCACAGAGGTTGGGGGCTAACACCCACCAGATGCTGGTGACATGTGGCTGTAAATAAGTCTGCCTACTCGACTAGTAACTCTGGCAGACAGCCAAGCTTCATTTTATAGTAGAGTGTGTGAAAAGGAAACAGTGCAAGAGGCTGGTTAAAGAATAGGCTTAGCCAGCTTCTTTAGTGTGATGTAAGTTTTTTTTTAAATGCAAGTATACGTGGATAAAGACAGAGCAAAGGAACAGAAAAAAAGAATGAAAGGAGATTACAACGTGACATAAAAAAATAACAAAACAAATGAAAAACAAAAGCTGTGCTCAAGCTGATAGGAGCGGACTTCATGGCTGGTTTTAGCAGTACTCAACCACACTGCTTCCAGTGGGACTCACTGAGTTAGCCTCTTCTCGAAGGTTAAGTGCAAGAAACCTCCAACCGCTTTGGGAGAAAGGAGGAGTAGATGTGTGCAAAAAGCAGATCCATTTTATCTATCTTTCTTTGCTGTACATAACTAACTAAAAAGTCAGTCTAGTTTGGATTTCTATTAAGGGACGATGCACAGCAAATGGGTTAGTAAATATCTTGTCCTACTCTGAAGAGGTTATAACACAGCGACTTACTAAATAAGCTATTCATTTGAAAAAAACACAACGATTAAGAGATGAATTCATTCTTTAATTAAAACTGATGTTTTTCTCCAGCTTAATGAAATATCTTTACATTTATTATGGTTTATCAAGGAGTTTGTCCATAGCAATGGTTAACTTTAATGCCATTGTAAAATGAACAAGCTGAACAGTATTACCCACAGTAATGTGAACATTTTCATTAGGTGTTTTTGGACCAAACAGTTCTGGGGACTTTTTGAAGTGGAACTAGTCACTTAGGAGTTCCCTGATAACTACACACCATGGGAACTTTTTTTCTGTGTGCATTTGCACCACCATGGTACCTACTACAGCAGGAGCTACAAAGGTTCCTCTAAATGGGTCTCTTGGAGCTAAAATAGTTCATAGTTCTTGCGGTAAGGAATGAATAAAAAAGGAGGAGGGTTCCAACAGTTCCTAGAAATATGAACAAGTTCCTGCGGTCCGAAAAAAACACATATTGACAGATAAGTTTGACAAAAAATCACAGCAACACCCACATTTCTGTCCCATTACTCTCAGAGCCTGCTTAAAATTCAATGAATTTTTGTACTATATCAATTGTCCATACCAAGTCCCAACAAATGATCATTTATCTATGCTTTCTTTAAATTGGTCAACATCCATGTTTCCAGCTTCACTGTTTTCTTCTCCTCCCCTTTTCTTCTGTTGTCAACAGCATGATAATATGACATATTTCTTTATACAGACTAAGGTAATGGGTAGCACACGTTTTTGGATTAAACGTGGCATCTGTACGAACATTTTGCTTTTCATAGCTGAAGATAAAAACTGTAGAACACTGTGATTTACATCATGAACATATTAAAGTAACATGGACAGATGATAAAATTGAAAAAACATTGTTTAAATAAACATCATAATAAAAATGTATTAACTCAACAGTTTTTTTATACTAGCTTAGGACACTCTGTCATTGTTCCTGTCTCTCTGGCTGCAGCCCACTGACGCATAATGATCAAATCACTGAGCGGCGCAAACCTCCCAAACCATGCATTTTCTTAAAAATACTAAAGCTCCCTTTCCAAGGAGAAATATTCTCTGATGGGGTTTCCTGCGAAAGAATAATTTATCATAATATTTAAGGTTAAAAGAACTCTCTTTCTTCTATCTTCTCTCATTTATAAGGTCATCCTGTTTGACTGAAATTAGCTAACAGTCTCTCAATTGACTAATTCATCCATCATCATTGCTGCTACCTGTCGAGGCACCTCTGTCATTTTAAAGCATTGACTGACACACACACACACACACACACACACACACACACACACACACACACACACACACACACACACACACACACACACACACACACACACACATTCATAAAGAAGTCATACCTTTGCATAAATTCAGGACATCATGGAGCAGAATACAAATCATGACCCCTGTTGCCTGTCAGCGGCTGATACATAAGAAATGGATACCACC